TGTTCTAAAGAAATCGTCATTTTTTGCTGATAATAATAATAACTCCGAAAATTCACCGGCAATTATTACAGCTTGTTTGATTTCCAAATCACGTCTCGGTTGCTGTATTTCTTTTTGCCAGAATCCTCGACGACAATTGTTGTATTTTTTTTTTGTGCACCAAAAACCCCGACAACAATTGTTTTTTTTGTGCCGAAATCCCCGTCGCCAATTTGTTATGTCTTGTGGGTTGAACGCTTTATTCGGATCCTAGCTATTCGGATAACCCCAGGCTAGCACTACTCAGCGACTTGAAAGACCAGTAAGAAGACACGAGTAACGGAGAAATCACTTTACTACAAGGTTCATTATGTACAGAAAAAACAGGGGTTTTATAGTGATTAGAAAGACCTTGAGATTCCATAGTAGCAATATGTTAACAGCCAATCAGGACCTTGTTATTTTAGTAGCATAGCTTCTAACTGATCGCTGATTGGTTGGTCTCTTTATGAGCCTCTCTGGAGGCTCTGATAGAGTTTATTGTATGCCGATCTAACAGCTTCTTACTGATTTCTTCCTTCACTGGATGGAATCTTGTTTGTTCTCTCCCACAGTAGCTTGTTGCTGATAGTGTCTGGCCAACGGATCCGAAGTATTTTGTGTAGACAACTGTTGGTAAACACTTGTATCTTCTGGATGATGGCTTTCGTAGTTCTCCACGTCTCCGCCCCATACAGTAGAACTGTCTAAGGTCAAAGATCTGGTTGAGCATAAAGACAATCAGTAAATGTGCACAACCCAATGATTAGTTAAAACAGCCAAATTTTATGTGAAAAAGTTTACAGAAGGACTCTAATAAATCACTTTTCTTTCCTTGATGTTTGTGGTAATTTTCTTTTGGACCATTAAGTTGTGATTAAAATGAAATTTTCTATTTACAGTATGAAACCCTATTGAATTCTATATAAGAACTTTCGTCTAAATTAGAGCGAATAGTTTCACAGTATTTGGGCGCCGAGTTGGTGTAAGACATTAAATAGGTAGAAGAATATATATTTGTAAAATCTCAGCGAATGAATTTGAAGTAAATCCAACGTTTCGTCTGGCAATCTGGTTCAAGCCTTTTCTAAGGAAATATTGAATTCTTCCTCTTAAATTATAGACCTTCTCTTTCATTCAACTAATGGCATAAATATCTAATCATTATGTAACATGCAATGTCATAGAAAAATATCAAGGTTTCCAGAACTTATCCTTTTTTCCATCTTTGTCGACTAGTGATAATGAAATAAAGAAATCAGCATAAGCTAAACTAAATCTTACTTCATCGAAACTCTTACTACTTGTTAATTGTTTCAGTTTACATACAGTGAGTTGACCTTAACAGTATAAAACCGTTGGAAATGATTTCTTTTTTAAATATCCAACCGAGTACACCGAACTATTCCCCATTTTTTTAAACAGATACTTCTAGTTAGATTACTAAAGTACATTTCATTACCAATAGAAATCAATTATTGGCAATAAACGTGACCAAGTTCTTGTTTATATGAAATTTTTTTTAGAAATTTCTTTGTTTATTTGTAACCATTGAACTAGTTTCCATAAAATAGAAAAATCAAATTGCAAATGTAAGAAAAGGTGGATAGTGGCTAGCAGTGGAATCCAAGACGCGCGTTTCTTCCTCTTTGGGACTCTTCAGCTAAGTGTACCTGCACCTTAGAGTTGATGCTCACTCTGGGACTCGAACCCAGTAACATTCACTTCAAGCGCCATCACGTTATCCACTCAGCTACTGAGTCCTGACAGCCACTTGCTTGTGCGATGGGGTGAAGTTTAAATTCACTGAGATGCAGGTGCATCCAGCTGACGAGTCTTAAATATGACGAAACATGCGCCAAACTGGATTCCACTTCTAGCCACTATCCATCTTTGCTTATAATGCTTGTGAATTAAGGCTATATCGAGGCAATACGCACAGTATGCACATATGGCCAATAAGAGACTGACCAGTTGCAGTCCTAAACATCAATGGGAAGATTCAAACAAACAATACTAAGTGAATTGTAAATGGTTGTAAGCAAACGACAGGAATGTCCTACATTATACACAATGTTTCCAATATTCAATAAACATGTTAAATCCAACACTTTCAGTCCTTATTCCATTAATTTAGTAGATGAGTCCTTCATATTACAGTGTAATTTTTAATAAAGACTTCATTTCAAGTTCAAACATTTACTGTATATGTTCTTCATTCAGTATACTAGTCTGTGTTCACTACATTCATATGTTTATCTGTAACAATTACAGATACCTACAGATATTTCATAACATTATGTTTTAGCAAGTTAATTATATAAGCAGTATGTTCTTTGGCTATGATAATTACAACTATCTCATCTATTCAACAAACCAATAATTCGAAATCGCCACATACCTTCTTGGTTTGTCTTGTCACGGTCATCTAACAGATTTTTCCAACAATCATGTGAATTAAATAGTGTTGTAGATCTCGCCGAAAGTAACAATTCTGACTGAAATTTATTCCCCGTAGCTTTGTAATCTGATAATCATAAGGCTAACTTGTCGCTTATTTTGAATGAAAATTTATTTATTCCCGGTTATCTTATAGTTACCAGTGGAGTTCAACTATGTCAAATATGAGAAAAAATGTCACCAATATGAATGGATAATTTTCACTCTATCGTAAATTAACTGAAGTTAGTAATGGAAGCCAACTCAGTAGTTTGAATGTTAGGTTCTTGTTGAGAGGTTTGTAGGTCCTTATTTCTATCCATGATGGGGTTATGATTTCTTGATATTGACTATGTGGTATCTACTATATCTTACAGTGGTTCGTTGAAGTTTTGAAATCAATAGGTTCGGGTTTCTTGTTAAAATCCATGAGACTTACAGGTAAGTAGGTATCGGCAAGTGAAAAATGTGTGACAGAAAAAGATGTATATTTTCATTCTACTTTCAAGTACAAAATTCTGCTTCCGTTTTACTGAAATTCACTATAACTTGTGAAAGACTGGTGTTCTATTGAAGTTAAACAATTCTATGGGAATTTAGCTAATTATCTCCGAAAGGATTGAACATTAATATCTGTATGTTAAATTCCCCTTTAAAATAAACATCTGTGGAGACAATGATAACCACAAGATTCAGCCATTTAACTAGCATTTTGAAAACATTCAATCTATCAATCAATCAGAATATTGAAAATCTGTACGGAAAACTTAATCAATGACTACTGTTGACTTAGAATACAAACAGTTAACACTGTTCATATATCTACAAAGTATGTAAATGAGATTAGTAACAATTTATCTATAAACCATGTTGAATATATAATATCCTTTTAACTACCTTTGTTAATCCACTATACAGGACATCCCTAGCCACATTCCTTTTCAATTTCAGTTTTAGGATTATAGGTTTCTTACGAGCGGTCAATATTTCCAATTTATTTTCCTCTATGAATGCATGTACTTCTTTAAGAAACTTCTCCAATAGCCTATTTCTCTCAGTAGGTTGTTTATAAACTTCAACCACTTCTTTATGGTATTCTTTAAATAGATCTCTTCTTGCTTTATTTGTAAGAGATGTGACCAAATTCCTTTTGTAGAGAATGGGTGTAAAACTATAGAATTGTATGTTTCAACACCCAGAAGAGCTCTTTTTGTCAGAAATAATAATAATCGGTAGTGATAAGATACAACTACTTTGAGATATGCAACTAATTTTTTGAACCTATAATACACTGGTTGTTAATGTTATCTACCATTAGTGTTCTACTAACATGGATGCGCATAATAGGACGAAACGACCGTCCAGTGCTTCCAGGCTTTCCATAGTGGTCTAGCTTCAATTGAATCATGATTTCAAGTATATATAAAAATTATTTACTTTGATTAAACCAAAAACAAGCAATACGAAAAATTGTCAAAGGATAGAAGAACCAAGATGGGCTTAAGTAATAAAACTCCTTTTGTTTTCCATTATATTATTGGTTGAAAATAGATGGAGTGAGTAGTATATTAACAATAAACTAATTATGTCGATGAGACTATAATTTATGAACGACCTTCAGGCGACGTTAAAGTGGCCTTGAGAATGTCCACTTACTGACTAGGGTTAAATGAGGGTTTTAAACCTGTGTGAAGGATAAGGATTGTGATTTACACTTGCTATTTATGATTAGAAATCAGATTTAGGGTTTTCATCACAAACTGACATCAGCTAAAATGCCAAGATGCTATTCAGCCAAATGAATGAAGAATTTCGCACCGAAATACAAGACCTATTATCGTAAATCTGATTGGTTCATCCTATAAATGATCGTCTCGTTATTATTTCTTGATCTTATTTTAGTACACACTCACTTCAACGATTAAATTAATATTGTTTATTTTTGTCTATATGAAATAACTTACATAATTTAATTGAATTGTAAATAGTAACATGATATTATCTGTAAATAAATTACTTTTCTTCAATTTAATTGATTATTCAGTAATTTTATAGAGTTGAGATCATGAGTTAACTGAAGCTAGACCACCATAGAAAACCTGGAATCACTGGATGGCCGTTTCTTCCTATTGTGGGACTCATCAGTAGTGTGCATCCATGACCCCGTCTCACAAGATTCGAACACAAGACATACCAGTCTCTGGCGCACCAGAGCACTTAAACGATAGACCACTGAGCCGTCATCCAACAGTGTTAATGTCTGACTTCAAACAATCCACGAAACTGAGCAACCAATCACCAATGCGCACGGCTGAGGAGTCTTACAATAGGACGAAATGACTGTCCAGTGATTCCAGGCTTTCACATCGTGGTCAAGCTTCAATTGACTCATGATCTCAACTATTAAAATTACTATAATATCTACAAAAACTCCTTTTGGTAATTTGTTTTCTCCAAAAAACAAAACAAAATAAACACACACACACACCACAAGAGAATAAAATTTAACTATACTCAAAAATAAGCATAAAACAACTACGATTAATCACAAACTTTTTATTTTTTAAAAGTATTAATGACTTGATGTGTTTTAAGTAGAAAAATATGACCTTGAAACTATAAAAAAAACACACGACAACAACAACCAACATGTAAATGAAATTCTAGTCGCTTTTGTGTATGATGTAAGAAATAACTAAACTAATGATACTACTTAATATCTATGCTTATATGTCAAAAAATCTCTTATAGAAATATACAAAGATTTGCTTTCTATTTTCCCCCATTGATTTATCAAAATCTTAAAGAAGTTAATGATTGTAATGAAGGTGTAAATTATTTTGAAACAGCTAATTTACTATGCTTATTAGTTACGGTAATTAAATAAAGTTTAATAACAATTTAGACAATTGGTTCTTCAATATATAATATTCCATTACTAAATTTAGCAGTAAGACTTTCTGGATCAATATTATCCGGAATATCATATTCTTTAGAAAATTCTCTTACAGAAGTACGATTTGGAGCTCGTTCTTCATGACGAGCTTTAATATAAATGCGATGATTTAATGTTTTAATTTGTATTTCACCTGGTGAATATTCTGAATCAATTGGTAGTTCTAAACGAAATCTATGTTTACGTGGCTGTTGTTGTAGTTGTTGAATTAAAGAAGAAGGATGACGACTATGATAATCCTGTTGATCATGTGATATAATATCATAATCTGAATGTGAAGAACGTGCTGAATGATTAAATTTCGGTGATTTCAAATCAAATTTTCGTGAATATTGTTGTTGTTGTTGTTGTGATTTTATACTTGGTGATTGATAATGATGACGATAATGTTGATGATGATTATTCCATAATGAATTTGATAAATGATCAGAATATGGAGATTGTAAATTTGTTGATGATGTAAATGATGGTGGTTTCATAGGACAGCTTACAGTCAATATACCATTAAGTGATAAAACAGCAGAAAGTTTTTCATCATCTACTCCTGGAGGTAAATTTATTGAATGAGTATATTCACGAAAAGATGATATAGAATTATTATTTGAATTATTTGTATTCATAGTTGTATTAATACTATTAGTAGAATGATTATGTTCAGTTTTAGCCACAACCATTAATTTACCATCACGTACAAATACTTTAAGTAATTCTGGATCATAACCAGATAGATTAAAATTTGATACAAAATGTACACTTCCATCTGGAAATTGTTCATAACCACTATTTGATGAAGAATTTTTTGATATGATATCATGTGAAGTTGGAGAATTTATCGTTTCTCTACTATTGAATAGATCATTTGAACTTTTTAATCGACTAGGTAATAATATATCATTATGTAATAGTTTAAATTCTTCATTCCATCGTCTACGACGTTCTTCCATTCTACGTTTCATATCATCATAGAGATAATCTGTATCAGTATATCTCATAGGATCAGCAGAAGTTGTACGTAAACGTTTATACCATGGTATATCATGTGAAATTTGTTCACTGTTTGATGTATGACGACTACGTGAATCCCAATTATTTGTATTATTACTATTATATTTCCAGTTATCATTTAATGTTACCATTGAAGGATCATCAAATTTGAAGTAATCATCATCGGCTATTGACTTATTATTCCTTTCAACAGGTATACGTAGTTCAGTTCGATAATTGGCCATTTGTTTTCTTTTTGTCTTTAATTATAACTTAATTATGGTAGTAAGAATCATTAGAGTTATATCCTGAATATGAAAAGTATAGTAATCATAATAGAAATGTCATTTCATGTCAATCCTTCATCATTTCACTTATGTAGTTTGACAGATTTCAATATATTCAAGTTATGATAGTATTAGTAGTAGTAGTAATAATAATAATAATAGTAGTAGTATGTTCAATAAAGATTAAGCTAAAAAAGTGAAAATAGACCTCTAAAAGAACTTGTGACAAAATGTAAATGTGGACAGTACTGTCTGTTCATTTATCGCTCAATTCATTGTACAATAATGCTTGGATACATATCCCGTTTAGTTAAAAGTAACTTTTGTAACCAATCAATAGTAAACGATTACTTTTGTTCTATATAATATGTCTATCTATCAAAAAAAAATATGTATTAGCTTATAAAGATTAATGCACAAACACATATAGTTATTTTGTGACTTTACTGTGTGCTATTGTGATACTTCATCTATTATGTAATAGGTCTTATAAAGTATTGGATATGAGAAACAGATGTTTTGAACTAAGTAATATTATTTATATCCCTTGACTACCTTTCAAAACGGAGAGAGTCGTCGTTTTTCTTTTTTCAAAATAGACCCAGTTAACAAAATAATTATAAAATTGTCATCAGTTTATAGTTATATGCAATGTGATTAGATGTTTTATATTTTGTAGAGTAAAATAGTAGAATGATGAAACTCTATAGAGATGCTTACATGATGAAGAAATGATAAAATGAAAATGGTCACCGGTCAAAAGATATTCCTTATGGTGTTTGGATACAGTGAATATTGGATACCGAAGTCAAATCGTTTTACCCATATGTATGCATGGTGATATTTCGACGATGTAACTTTGTATCTGTGCTTATTGCTATCAAATTAACACTAATTGAGGACAATGCTGAATGAACCTTAGTAAAAGTAGACAACCATTTATTATCTGATTATATAATCCGGTTTAAAAAAAGCCTACTGCAATTGTTTAGATTGTATCATAAGAAATTTCGGATTTTCATCACAGACTGATCTTAGTTAGACATCCATCGAAAATCACAAAGTACTAGGTAGATGTTTCATCTCCGTAAAGAACATCTCAGCAGTAAACATCTACGAACAAACTGGGGATAAGATTAAGGATCCCAGACCCCACGCGCGAACGTCTAACCTTTAGACAACTTAGCCGGCAACCAATGGTATTTGTTTCTAACGTCAATCGATTAGCGATATTGTGCTGATATCTTTCACTGTCTGGTTTAACTTCACTGGTTGTCATCATGTTTTAGGGTTCATAAATTTTGCCCTGTATCAATCTGGGTGTTCTTACTTTCACTTCGTGGGAATTGCAGTGATTCCTCGTATCGAGTATAAGTGATAAGCCATTCCGAAATAACAATTAGCGACAAGTAGATATAAGAATTGGTGACTCGGTCATAACAATCGACTACCAATCATAGAAAAAAGTGAATGTCCGGCGCTTTAACAGCGTTGGTGGACACAGAGAGTCCCCCTAGGGGAGTTAGTAAGCCCTGACTCCAAACCAATAGTACACATGGGTTCCAGAATCCTGAGGGGACAAATAACGTATGAACCAATTCTAGGTCACTGGCTACCATGATACTGCATCTCCTGACGTTACTCTACTGCCTTGTGGATCAGACTTTTAGGTCGAAGGCCCTGAGTGTTGCCCCTAAGAAAACCACCTGCTTCGGTCTAGAAACCCCAGCAGTATCACAGCCCATACACAAATCAAGTGACTTGTGTGATGCATATGTATTCTGTACCTCTTTGTACCAATATTTTTGTGTTCAAACAAATAAATAAATAATTTCACCAGGAAATGATTCTATCCAGAACTCCAGGAATTTTATCTTGTAGTTAGTGGTGAATATAGGATTATTATCAGTATAGGAGATATGTGGAGCTTGTTAAATTTTCATAATTTACATAGGGTATTCACCAAAAGAGGTAGAAGTAGCACAATATAGCGAATCGTTCGAAGTTTGACACAAATACTATTGGCTCCCGGCTAAGTTGTCTAGAGGTTAAGCGTTCGCGCGTGGGGTCTGAGATCATAAATCTTATCTCCAGTGTGGTCTTAGATGTTCACTGCTGAGGTGCTCCTTACAGAGATGAAACATCTACCCAGTTCTTTGTGATTTTCAATGAATGTCTAACTAAGACCAGTCTGTGATGTAAACTATCATAGTATTGAATTATGACCTTGACAATTAGAAAATTATCCAAATCCGTAAAAAAATTCTAGTCAATAGAATATGGGCTATGAATTCTTGAAATCTCTTGTAGAATAAAAGACTTTATTCCGTAAGTAAATTTATCATTTCTGTCACCTGATTCATTTCAGTTGTTTTAAGCTGTGTATTTTTTTTTTGATGGTGAAACGAAACTTGCAAAGCACGAACTGGTATGTGCCTCGATACAAGGAAAAGAAAGAAAAACACTTTTCGTAGATGAAGATTCACTTCACCATCCAAATAAAACTATCGTATACACTCACTTACATATTCATTTATTTGTATTGATTGTTTATTAGCATAAGGCATACCGAATCGATCCCAATGAATATAATGCTGAATTAACGCAAGAGAATGGTAAAAAAATAGAATGCTCCTAATAAAATAATAAACTGAATTAATAAATAACCCCATGGTTATTTTGGTTATTTATTCTCTGAAGAAGTGGCTTATATTAAGTCACGAAACGTCGGCAAATCTCATTTTTCTACTCATTATGATATTACATATATATTATCTATTTATAAACTTGTGGTTAGTCTATTCCTGCCATCTTTCTTGTTTTATTTGTATATGTATGGATAACTTTTTTTGTAGAGATTCATGTATACTTGATCTGGTTTGTGTTAGTACTTCGATAACTGATCAGCTGTCTTGTTTCTTTTGATAGTTCAACGCAAAACCTCGATTATGAATTAGCTTTTTAGCTAACTGTTATCACGGAACATAAAAATCAATATATGATCGATCAATATACGTGAAGTGATCACAAGATAAGTGCTTACTGGAAAACACCCAAATGAAACGAAACCCTTTTTTATACGTATACAAGATGATCACGGAAATAAGTCACCTGGACTATTCACTTTGATTGGTTTTCCCATAAAATAATTTTATCCAATCATGTTAACTCCTTTTAACAAGAAAATCTTTAATTAAAACACTGAAAAAGGTTTACAAAATATTAAGTATTCTAATCTATCAGAAGGGAGTTTTGTGGGGATTTTAGTAATTTTATGTAGTTGAGATCATGAGTCATTTGAAGCTAGACCATTATGTAAAACCTGGAAGCACTGGACTGCTGTTTCGTCCTATTATGGGACTCCTCAGCAGTGCGCATCCACGATTCCACTTCGCGAGATTTGAACACAGGACCTATCTGTTTCGCTCACTAGTGACTGGCTCCATCATATATTTCCTGGAGTTCTAGTGAGAAGCAGTAATCAGTGCAGTTCGACCAGGTCTGCTGAGAGATATCAACACACTGATGACATTTGTGAATGGTTGCTCAATTTCGTGGATTGGTTGAAAATAAACATTAACACCATCGGATGCCGGCCATCTCAGTGGTCTAGTGGTTAAGCGCTCGCGTGCGAAACTGATAGATCCTGGGTTAGAATCTCGCGAGGAAGGGTCGTGGATGCGCACTGCTGAAGAGTCCCACAATAGGATAAAAAGACCATCGAATGCTTCCAGGTTTTCCATGGTGGTCTAGCTTCAATTGACTCATGATCTCAACTATATAATATTTTAATCTAGTTAGTTTGCAGATCATCAATAATGTAACCTAATTTGAATTCTTTTTTATCCTTTAAGGATAGTTTTCTATAAAGATGTATTGTGTGATGCACATTTTATACAAGTTTAATTTTCAAATAGAAACGTTAAATGTTTTCATATTTTTCATTTTCACTATTTCGATCTAAATTAATCATTATCTTGCAAAGGCTGGTACTAGGTCAAACCCACATAAGTTATTCTAACATCTGGACAGATCAATCTGTTCATTCTTTTCAAGCCACATTTTCACTCTGTCACTTATTCGCTTATTAACCTTGACTGTTTTTATGTAAGCGTATGTGTGTACATTTCTTATCTTACTCATCACATGTCTGTAACTTATTTTTGTGTGACTATAAATTTCGATTCGCGCTTGATTAAAGCGAAATGGCTCACTCGCCTTCTCTAGTCCATTTCGTTTGCTTCACCCCGTTTCTCTGATTGTCTGTTCTGATGAACGTTTGTACAAAATATACACCTTCAAAACTTCATTCTAGTATTTGACTTATTTTAATTCCGTTATTCACTAACGTGAGTTAAGTCTATAATTATATACAAGCATAAACGAAATGCATAAGAAGATGACGATAATCACACGATCCGATTGGAGTCAGATATTCGAGGGCCATTAAAATTTCACGGATTCATTATTATGGTATTTCTCATACAAAAATTCAATTTATCGCTTATAAACTACTAACTGTTATGAATTTTCATAGTTGAATGCGTGAGTCAATTGAAGCTAGACCACCAGCGAAAACCTGGAACCACTGGACTGCCGTATCGTCCTATTGTGGGACTCCTCAACATTATGAATTTCTCACTTAAATGTATAAACTACAATTTAATTCATTACATTTCCCATATGGTATAATGTGAACGGAAAGATGAAACAGATCTATTTCTGTTTTCCGCTAATCACTTTTACATTAGGATATTATCATTCTTTAGTTTAAAATGTCCCTTTGTAACATTAGTTACATTATGTGTGACCAGTCAACTAATGTATTTTACCAATGCATACTGTTTATGAAAATGTTTAGCGGAGCATGAGAAGTAATTAGCATTCATTTTAGTTTTTATTAATGAGAAAATTTAATAGTCATTCATCGGTTAATTAACCTTTTGTTGGTCAATCCATTTCACATAGTATTAATGGAGTTTTGCTTCGAACTAGTGATAACTTTGAGCTTAATTTGTATGTTCTACTCCATTCTTTAGTATTGACTAGTGTCTATCTGTTGAGTATTGCAATATTCTCAAGTACATTGGGTCCACTGGTCATTGATAAAATAAACAATCAATGTAGAACAGAATTATAAGGCGCGAAATCCCAGTAGGAGATAACATTCCTTAAAGGTAATAAATATCATTTAGTTTCAATTGACGATCAGAATGAACATGTGATGAGAAACTTACCTTTAATTTGCCTTCAACCATTTAATATTGAAGACATTGTGAATCATTAGACCTCAACTCAGTGACTTAAAATGTGACATCCTTTCAGCGACTCCGAAAGGCTTCAAGTTCGATCCCTTGACGGGTCATCAAGAATCATTAAGAGTTCCAT